TGACTTGAACTTAAATCAATTTCTGTAAGAATGGACAATTACTGGAACTACTTACCACTGGCTAAATCCCAGTGAACAGTCTGGCTGCATGGGAGTTTTAATGATTTTTCCGAACTATAATGTGGCTATGAGCCAGTTTCCCTTTAAAGTCTTTCACAAAGGCATCCTTTCCATTTGGCAGGTAACTTTTACTTGCTTTGCCTTAATCAAATAAACCAAACTAAAACAGTCACTCAAAGTAAAATATCTGAACCATACACAACAACAACAAAAAATCAAAATATTATCCTCAAAATTATTCTTAAGGGTAAAAATTGTAAATGAATAATTATTAAGAGTCAAATTGAAATTCTTAATAAAAAAAGTTTAGAAGACTTGATCATGTATTGAGGATGAATTGTAAATAGTTTTGACAAGCAATGAGTCCTATTAAAAAAAAAAAAAAAAAAGAAGAGGAAAATGGAAATCATATGATTGGCTATCTGTCTAAGATGAGGAATGAGTTTGTGGGGGGGGGGATTTTCTAATGTAAACTATCTCATATTTATGTTATGCACAAGAATCATAAAAATATTCATACAGCCAGCCTATCTACCTGGATTCGAACCCAGGTTGAATTACTGTTGTTTTGGGAGTCGTATATACTTAGCCACTGATGGAGCAAAGTACATATTATACTCAGTTTGATCTAATAGTATGTAATAAAATATGGTATGCACTAGGGAAATTCCAGTAGTGAAAATTGCTGTTTTAAAAAACATTTTTTATTCCTAAGTTTTTTTTCCCCCAATATTATTATAGCAGGGACTGTTGTTTGTTATAGCAAAGCTTTTAATAACTGTCTGCATAGAGGGAGAAGGAATACATTCATGTGTATCTTTACAAGAGAAAATGTCTGGTGTTTGTTACGCAGGTGTGGTAAACAGGGGGGGGGGAAAGAAAGTTTTTCATATTTGAACTCAACATAAATTCCCCTTCCCCCCCCCCAATGGCGGGCCCAAACCGTCCACAGATGTTGGCCACTACTAAAGCCAGAAACGGTGGTCACTTTATTATGGAGTCACCTAATACATGGGCTACCTTTGCCTCCTATGAGGGGAAGGACAAATGCAACCATGCCTTCTCTGGGATTTGAACCTGGGCCATTTGGTATTGCAGTCGGCTCCTCTAACCACTATACTGTCTGGGCAGCTGAACATAAAACTTTGAAGAGTGTGGGAGGGGTATTGTTTGCAATAAGCAAATTTTCCATTAAGAATAAATTTTACTGAAATGCAAGGTTTATGCTGAAAGTATTGAAAGCAGTGGTGGTTCCTTTATATGTGCACATGAGCATGTAAATCTCCGAAGGAAGTATAAAAAAGAAAGAAAGAAATTTATTAACAAATAAAATAATATTAAATACACTTCCAGATTTTTATTAATTTCCAGAATTTTCTATCCCCCTTTTTAAATACACTGATATGTAGCTAATGTACTGTATTGTAGGTTACGATTATGGGCACAGAAGCGGATAAAGGAACGGGTGGGGAAAGGCAAACTGCTAATACTACACCTTTCGCACATCTTCATTGTGGGAGAGCTTGCGTTGTTTGCAGTTATCTCGTCTGAATTTTCCCTTGGTTTCCTATATTTGGTTAATTAATTGGTTTTCCCATTTTCATATTATTTTTTATTGTTATCATTTTTCAATATGTATTTTTTATGATTTAGTGTAAATAGTTAAGATGGCACTTAGTAAAATCAGTGTTTTGAAAATAAGGAAAGTAAATACTGAGTAAGTACTGAGGCCAGCATCTTTGCTAAGCTTTATCAAGGTGACAAAATGTAAGACTAAAGATATCAAAAAGAAATTTGAACCCAGTTTATATGTGAAATGTTCATGGAATTGTGGATGGAAATCAACTAATAGGCTGGGTGAGTTATGGTGCTGCTGATTTATCATGTATAACTCAGAAAATTTAAAAAAAAAAAAAAAAAAAAAAAAAAAAAAAGAAAACTTGAACTCCTAATCACATTTAAACTGCACATTAGAATTTAATTTGCTAGTGCATTCTGTTTTGTGGTGCATCTGAGCTTGCACTTTGAAGATACGTTGAACATGAGTAGTCATTAAATCCCAGAGTTTTCAGAGGTCTTGCCAAATTCTCAGCAGAATTTGTTTCATCTGTTAAAAACCATCTTGCTTGTGCCAATGTTTTTAAAGGAACTTCAATAGAAATTCACAGTGTTTTATAAGGTCCCAATCACATTATGTTTTGGCTATGCGGGACTTGACATCGAAAGGGACAATTCTCAGAACCCGCACATTTCCAGGAAACCCACGCAGCTAGGTTACCATTTTCACTTACTACAAAGACTTGAATAGCAAACAGTAATTGATTATTGCTCAGATTGGGATCATGTGATCCTTCAGAAGCAGAACTTTTGTCTGATTGGTTGATCTGTACTCAGGACAGAGCTCCAGCCAAGACATTTTCAGCGAGGTTTGAAAAAATCCTATGTAGCCACAACATCATTTCCGTAGCTAGGCGACACTTAGTTTTAGTTTAGTTCTTTTTTCTAGGCAGAGGCTTAGCTAGGGTTTTCAGTGTCCGGAGACAACTGAAGTTTTTGCGCCCCCTTCTGTGTGCCAGGAATGGAAAACATTTCATTCTAAAATTTCTTAATTACCATTTGGCGCCCTCTCGATGCTGTGCCAGGGGACAGATTTTCCCCCTTGCCCCACCCTAGCTACACCACTGTTTCTAGGAATCCTTCCATTTAAACCAGTGCTACCAGAATCTCGTTTCTTAGAAAAGTCTTGTCTAGCAGGGACTGTTGCCACATGCCATACCTCTTTAGACTGCATACTTATTGAGTTAGATTTCTGTGGTGCACCTACAAATGAGCGAACAGTAAAATCGGGATTCAAACCGTGACAAACAAGTAAAGTAGTCTGCAAAGTAGTTTTCATGTTTTTCCCAACGGTAAAGAGAATACAAATCGGTTATCCTTAAAAAGTTCTCCATGAAAAGCATCCCTGCTCTCGCTTGTTTCTATAATCCAGTCCCATTCTGTGATACATGGAGCCAGTATCACTCGTACCATTGCTCAATGATAGCCATCAGAAGTTTTCAACAAGTAATCTAAAAAAAAAGTTTAAATGTTAATACTGAGAGATTTAACTGAAAAATTAAGGGCTTTAGTCACCATATTTTAAAATTTTGTCAGTAAAGTTTGGTTTGCATATATTGTTCGAACCCAAACGAATGGACTAGCTGCAATCAAGCACCAAGGATTAATTATTACAGAGTGCATAACGTTAAAGACCCACTACCTCCATATCATAAAAATATATTAGCAAGGTGAATTAAGAAATAATACATGAAGGATGTTAAGGAAAATTAGTTAAGAAGAAATCAACGTGACTTGAGGAAGTTTAAGGAGGAAAGGTAATCTTTTAAAAATATTAAGTTTGGAAAAAAATTAACAATAATAAACGAGATTCGATCTCGGGAGCTTTTGGACGAATCTAACGCGCTAATCAGTGAGCTAGGGAGAATATAGATATGTTTGGATTTTTTTATATTTTATAAATTTTTTATATTTAAAAATTTTTTTAAACATAAATTCAACACTAAAGATAAAAGCGAATGGGAAAGCGTTTACGATTAATAGACTCCTAGGTCACATGGTCATAAAACCTTTCTGCATGGCTGCATAGTTGCTCTCCCTCATGTGTAACTTGAGTCAATTTCCCTTAGAAAATCCTCCCGTTAGGCAAGTAACCCTATTTGCCATAAATAACCTAAATCAAGTAATTCTTTTATAATTGCAGAAATGAATGAGAGCTGTTAGAAAGCCTTTACAATAGGATGTCTAGGGCTTAGCGGTCGAGCGGTGAAGTCCCTGAACACTGGTAGCTCGGTCACAGTTTCGAATCCCGCTAACGGGCTGGCTGCATGGGCGTTTTCGTGGTTTTCCCCAGGTGTAACGTGATAATACGAGCCAGTTTCTCTTAGAAAGTCCTCCAGGAAGGCATCCCTTCCTTCCGTGTAGCGCCTTAGGGCGAAGCACGTAAATAATTATATTAATAACAATTATAGGATGTCTAGTAGTACTGCATAGTTTTGTTTGGAAATGAAAAATCTGTAAGATGACTGAAAAAGTTTTTATTTTCTATTCTTGTGAGAAATGACGGTATTTACGAGAATATTTCAGAAGCGAATTAAACGTCATGCATAATGTTATGATTGGTTATTGCGAATCTATGTAGAAAATTATACATTTTGCTAATAGTTTTCACATACTAATAAATTATTTATAAAATGATTAGTTATGTTATTTCAGGATAAAGTTTTATCAGTATTTAAAATTTAGAAGGGTGAAGATACCCACATAAACATTATATTTCCGAGAAAACAATAAAAATGTCTTGTTAGTCTATTTCATGTATATTTCATCAGTTACTGCCGAGCGCTTAAGGGCTACCAATAGTAATGGGGCGAATATCTTCGTGGTGAGTTTTTTTAAAGAAAACTGGGTCATGTTAACGCTATGTACCAGCTCATATAAAAATAAACAAACAACAAAAAAGTCCTTAAGTAAAATATGCTTAAGTCCTTGGAACTAGTATATCAGTTAAGGTTTAAGTATCGTTAATTCAATCGTATCTTCGTATCTAGTTTTTTTTGACAGATTTCCGCCCGCTGTTTGAGATCTAACATGTGAAATACGATATTCAGTGCTTCATTATTTATCACTTTCAGAATTACTGTTATAACCTCGGGGTTCGTAACTTAGTCTTCCGATAAATCTATTTCTCCTCCCGCGCGTCTAAACCCGGCAAAAAGAGCAAATCCGCTTTTAAAAATAGAACTTAACTCTATTTTCTTGTTTTCCTTCACTCTTGCTTAGGTGTTGTGGGCGGATACAAAGTGCGGTGGTGCGGCTTGCCATAGGTTGCCCTTCTGTTCCCCCAACAAATCCGAAATTCTGTGTGTTTAGATTCTTGCAGTCAGTTTACGCGGTGAAGAGTTTTTCTACTCTCGTATACTCTGCTAGCTTTTTGTGCTCTGATGCTGGACTGTCGGTGTAAAGCAAAACGCTGTAATCCGAGTCTTTGGCAGGTTTTTTTTTCTTAAGACCTCTGCTGCCCAATTTTTCTTTCTTCTTTAATTAATGATCTCATGACTTCGCAGTACAGTGTTATGTTACTTGAAAAATTCTTTAAAATTTTTTCTGATTTGTTTAGTATAGTTGCGTGATATTTGCTTAGCTGTTTGAGATTAATTATTCTCTTTTTGAGCTAATATGAAGTTCATGGAAAATGAAGGATTTCGTCATCAGATATGCATGCAAGTCACAACTGTTCAGTGTGGAAAGTTCTTTAGCTTATTAGTGGATGTAGTGTGTTAGAAAGGATTATCATATATTTTAAATGTTTGAACTTTTATGAAATTTCAAGTGTGAAGAATTATTACATGCAATTTTTCTATGTATGAACAACAAATGAGCGTTTTTAAAGACAGGCTCTTACAAGGTGAGTGTTTTGCTTTTTGTTTATTTTTCGTTTTGGCTAAATGTGCTTTTTAGTCAGACCTGGTATTTTGTGTTTATGAATGCTATGCATACAGCTGTAGTACCAGCTCATAATTTCACTATGCAGCGATATCATATGTTGGTATCTTTAATAGCAACATTATAATATATGCGTGCGCTCTTGCAATAGCAGTTCTAGGTTAACAATAATTTTCCATTATTCCGTAAATTTGCAGTTTCTAATTCTCTTTATTCTGTACTCAAACCTTCACTGGTCGCACCTCGGTTAAAAGTGCTGTAAGTATATCTGGGAAATTTTGTATCTGCTCGTGCAGTTAACATCAAAACCCCATCTGATTATATTGCAGGAAAGGAAAAATGACGTTGTGCATATTTTCAACAAAAAAATTTATTTCAAAGGTAGCTTGTGCACGCAAGTGGCCGAGCGGTAGAGTCGTTGAACACTAGTAGTTCGGCATGGTTTCAAGTCCAGGCGAACGGGCTGGTCGCATTGTGGTTTTCTTCCTGTGTAGAGTGGATGCGAGCCAGTTTCCCGCAGAAAGCCTAAGGGAAGGAATTTAATCCCTTCCCTTAGGCAGAGAGCCCTAGTACGCTTTGCCGTAATCAAATAAATCAAACTAATCAAAGGTAGCTTACAATAAACTTACAAAAACCCAAAAGGGAATAAAAGGTGAGTCGTATAATTGTTAATAAGGAGTACGCGCGATCTTAACGATTTCGTCCATAATTTGCGTAATTATATAGGACCTAAAATGAATATATGTGTAAAGGGAAAGACCGTACCTTTAAAAGAAGAAGAAGAAAATCAAGGCTAAAGTTCTAAGTAACATTTTCACTTCTTAAATTTCGTACTTACAAGCAAGCTTCGATAGCCTGGAGGTATTACATGGAGACACAAATATGAATACTCCGTTCAAAACCAGCTATCGACGCGTTTTTTTTTATTGGTGTTTAACGGCTGTTTATTTTGAAATTAAATTTGGTACTTTGGTCAAGCTAACTATGTGTTTTTGACGGCATTTTATTGGTGCATTTTGGCTAATTTCTTTCTCCATTGCTTTGGTCTGATGCTAGACGAAAAGAAAAGATCTGGCACAAGGAGATATTCTGCAGCTTCAAGGAGGGGGGGGGATCCTTCTTCCCGCAATTTTGTTACGTCCATTCATTTTAAAGCTAGTACAAAATAACAACTAATTGCATAATTCTCATGCAGCTATTCCAATCAACCGTTGTGTTATGATCCGCTTGAAGCAAGTTTTGGTCCTCAAAACTCAATAAACATTAATTCCGAACACCATAAGTAAATGAGTTAATTATATGGCTGTAACGAAAGGAATGTGTGATTTAACAAACCACATTTGTGTTTCAGAGCACGTTTTAACTTCCTGGCAGGACAAAGGCTGCAAAGCCATTTCAACTTCCAGTAACATTAAAAAAAAATCTGATATGTACACCACATGACTTCCTTGTACGGGAAATTAAATTATACGCATTTTTTCTTGCATTTAATTTAAACTTATTGGATTGAATTAAATCTACTTCGCCGACAGCGCATAAACCACAGTAGAATAAATGCATTCTTTAAAATTAACTCTGTTTGTTTACCATAGTGACACTCTGGCGCTAGGTTCACTTAACAGTATTATATTTTGTTCATATTATAACTCAATGCACAAAATGTATATCATTTAAAGAATTATCTAATCTTTGTCTCATGTTCTATTTAAATACTATAATAAAGCTTGGACGATGTATAAAAGAAATTAAGCAAACAAAACAAAAAAGAAACAGTTTTTCACAGACGATTGAGTATTTCTCATTCAGTTAATTCAGTTCTGACAAGGCAGCATTACATAAAAACTCAAAATATCTGTATTAAAAATTACGAAGTAAATCTTAAATACTTATTTCCTCGAAAAAATTCCAGAAAGGATTAAGCATGATTTAATTGGCAATAATAAATGAAGGCGTTATCTTTGTTGTTGCGAAGCTAAGTTTCTCTAGATTGGCAACAAATCCACTATTACGCTGTTTCAGATGTAAACAAGCAATGGCCGCCATCAAAAAAATTATTAGGCTTAGCGGCACTTAAACAACTTTAAAATTTTTGATAATTCTAAAAATATTGCATATAGATTTACTAAAGGCATAAAAACCTTAATCGGATGATAAGAACAACATAATTCAATCATTTTTAAAGCAAAAATGTGCAATTTACAAACATATAAGAGTAAAAAAACTGAGATCACTGAGCCGGGTAACAGAGTGGATATATATATATATATATATATATATATATTTATATACGTTTGGTGCGGCCGATTGCAGCCAAAATACGAGGTGCACATCTATATGTTATTGCAGTCCTATATACAAAATTTCAACGTTCTGAGGCTACTCGTTTTTGAGTTATGCGAGATACGTACGTACGTACGTTCGTACAGACGCCACAAAAAATTGTCTTCAGAATTCATTTTAAAGCAGTTTTATAATTTTTTTGGAGGAAAAGAGTCTTTTATTCTGTCCTAATGCACAGATATCACGCAAAAACATCGTTTCGTTGAAATATGCTGCCTGAAACTTTTCGCGATTACAATACATCCTTTTTACTTCGTACAAGGAAGTAAAAATTCATTACATCAAAAATGTGGTTGCGTAAGCGATATTTATACAGGCAATGGTTAGAGTATATTTAAGGGTGCTCCTTGGATTATCGCTAAAATGTTTCATTTATCGCCAAATTGTTGTTTCATTTATGGTAACCCGAGTTATGGAAACCCTATATGACCTAATTGTTTGCGTAATTGCGGTGAATTTGAATGATGGGAAAAGATTTGTAAAGGCTTGCTTGTGTGTTGGATGTTGGTTAGGAAGTATGTTGTTATTTTGTGGTTTACACGGTAAAATGGCTGAATGTGATAAGATTAATTTGAAGTTTCTGAACGATTTGGAATGAAATAGAAAAAAGCATTAATTGACTGGTGTGTGTGGTGTGTATTTAATTATGGCAAAGCACACTAGGGCTATCTGCCTAAGGGGAGGGATGCCTTTCGTGGAGGACTTTCTAAGGGAAACTGGCTCGTATACACGTTACACATGGGGAAAACCACGAAAACGCCCATGCAGCCAGCCCGTTCGCGGGATTCGAACCTCAGACCGAACTACCAGTGTTCAGCGACTTTACCGCTCGGCCGCTGGTGGGCCCTGACTGGTGTGTAAATGAAGGTTTGCTTAGTATTATAAGTGTCTTGTTTGTACAAAGGAAGTGCGTATGGTCGGAAGATATTTTTGGCTCTTATTTTTGTGAATTTATTTGGCGACGCCAGTATACAGACTGTAGTTCAGATAATTTTAGGAAGTTTTTGGATGCTGTTAAGTAATTTTGTTTGACTGAAGACACAGAAGTTTCTAAATAAAGTAAGTGGATATTTTCCTTTGTGTAGTTCTAAGATGAAATTCCTTTTTTATGTTATTTCATTGTTTGAATTTAAAATGTAGTTTATTGAGATTATGTATTTTTTGTTGGCTGCTCCTTTGACTTTTTAAGTGAAAATAGATTGATGTGTACATGGACAAAGTCAAGGGAGTGCGCAATGGCAAGTTTGTGCAGTTTTTTTAAGTGAAAATATGTCGATGTGTACATGGAAGGATACCGAGTTTGTGCAGTTCTTTGACTTGTTAGTTTGGCTTTGCGCTGCACAAAGCCAAACTAACAAGTCAAAGAATTTCACAAATTCCGTGTCCATGTACCGCCAGAAATCGCGAATTTTCGCCAAGGAGCACCTGTAAATATATTTTTACCCAGACAGTTATCTCCAGGTTTGGTTTGGTTTATTTAATTGTGATGACAAAGTACTCGAGGGCTATCTGCCTAAGAGAAGGGATGCCTTCGTGGAGGACTTTGTAAGGGAAACTGGCTCGTATACACGTTACACATGGGGAAAACCACGAAAACGCCCGTGCAGCTAACCCGTTCGCCAGGAGTCGAACCACGGATGGAACTACCAGTGTTCCGCGACTTTACCGTTTTGGCCACTGGTAGGCTTGAGCGAAATCTGTGGGATCAAAGTCCTGTGCTTCCCTTGTCAATCTGGTGGTTCTCAACGCTGTTACTTGTAATTTTTTCATGTAGCTGTAAGAAATGTAAATACAGCTGTATTCTCGCAACAGGTCAGGTTAGGTTATTTAATTTAATTACGGCAAAGCCTCGAGGACTATCTGCCTAAGGGGAGGGATGCCTTCGTGGAGGACTTTCTAAGGGGAACTGGCTCGTATACACGTTACACATGGGTAAAACCACGAAAACACCCATGCAGCCAGCCCGTTCGCGGGATTCGAACCTCGGACCGAACTACCAGTGTTCAGCGACTTTACCGCTCGGCCGCTTGTGGGCCCTCGCAACAGGTAAACCTACTGGGTCCATATCTATAATAATAAGTGACTACCCTGTATCTGCCTTTCGTTATGAGTCATGTAATACAACATGTGTTGGTAAATCATCAGAGGAATTTTATTGATTCTGCTATGGTACCAACACTCAGACGATAGAATCTATGGGGTCATCTTCAGCAAATAATTGTACGGAATACGACAGGAACAACAACCGCGATGCTGCCTCGTCTACCTTTTTAGTTGTAATGGCTCCTATCATTGGCTGATGTGCTTAAGATCGCTGAATATTGGTAGTCTGGCCATTCTTGGATTCCGACCCTATCGAACGGGCTGACTGTATGGTTGATTTTCGGGGTTTTCCCCATGTGTAACGTGAATACGAGCCAGTTTCCCTTAGAAAGTCCTCTCTTTAGGCAAATAGCTTTACCTTATTCGAATAACGTAACTTGAATTGTGATGGCGATATGTCAACAATGGAGACAAATTTCTAGCCATGTTGAGAGACATCAGAACAGTGTTTGTGCGAATGATAAAATAGGGATGACTGTCAGTTGTTTTCATGTCTGGTTATAGTAGTAAAATTATGAC